GAAAGAGAGAGTTGCAGAAAGAAGGAGAAAAAAGGGTGAAGAAGATAATTTTTAGACTTCCTCTGTTCCATATTGAGAAAATAAGTAACATTGCTTTTCTTCAAGGCTACACAGGCTTCACACAGGAAACTTTCACTCTTCTTGAGAGAGAAAATGAAAGGCATGGGAAAAACAGATTCAGAGCAGAGATACTGCATATAAGTAAAAAACAAACAAAAAAAAAAAAGAAGAGGAAATAGTTCATTATTCAAGACTGTTTCTTTTCTAAATGACATGACCCTCTAGGCAGTGTTACAGAAGACAGCCTTACTCATTTCCGTAACTTTTTAGTATTCCTTTCTTTCCATTCAAAACCATCTGCCTTTTCAGTAAACTTCCTTCTGCTGAACTTCTCGAGTACTTCTGTTTTATTCCAAAGATCTTCCAAAATTGAAGCAAGAAAATAATAAAATAATAAAAAGCAAGAAAATAAACCCAAACAACTATAAATTATAAATTTAACAACAAAAAGTAAAACATCTATAAGGCCAGCTTTATTGTGAATATTTTCAAATCCAGAGCAATGGACACACTCCTTTATGAGAAATAAGCATAGGGACAAGAACAAACTTCCTTTCCTATTAAACATCCACTGATCAGTCCATGATCTGTACTTCTCTGACAATTTTTCTAACACAAAAAACGGAATTTTAAGTAAAGACTAAAGCAGCTTTGAAAGAAAATTATTTCTGACAGCCACTCAAAGAGGCATCTTACCACCAGTGACCATAATCAAGTTCCCTGCCACAAAGCCCAGAACCATAAAATTCTCTTGTAGAAGACACAAGCATGTGGGAGTGCTCTGATTTGTTCAGTGACAGACTCTGAAGATCACCTTAAGTTTTAAATTAGAAAATTAAACACATATACATATATATATATATGTGCACACATGCACATTTTCACACATTTTTTTTCTTTATGTTCTTCTGACAGTCTCTGCTTACCAAATGATGAGAAATTGCAAGGGAAAAGAATCCTTTATTTTTTGTTTAAGGGGAAAATAGTTTAGTGCTTTTCTATATTACTCAGAACTGATGCAAAGTCAGGTGCAATATAGGGAAGTGTAAAATGAGAGGATATATCATTTCAGAGAAAGCTAAGTAGTTTTTTGTCCATTAAGTAACATCTTACTGTCATCCATGAAATAAAGGGCTATACTCAAGCAGGAAATATGATTTGTTTCAGAAAAATTCAGGACTACATTCCCCTGAAAAACTGAATGTACAGACTTGGCTGAATTGCTGGTGCAAGTATTTGCATAGATTTGACTGATAATGAAAAGAGTGTTTTGGTTGTTTTAACACAGAAATTAAGAAACAAGTCCAAATAAGTCAAGTTGTTCATGTGTAAGTCATATTAGTATTTTAAACAAACTACTAGCATACCAGTCAACCAGGAAAAGGTTGACTGAAAGTCTCATTCCAAGTGCTCTGCTGTAGTAACAAACCAACTAATTCCATATGTAATGTATAAGAGCAGTGGATGCTCTTATTTGAAAAATACAGGGTGGTATATAAATTAATGCTTAAAATGCTTTATCCTATGTTCACTTAACACAAAAATACACCCTATGATGGAAATATTTCAGTAATGAACTACCAAAAGGTGATGAATTGCCAAAATTCGGTTGGATCCATTTTAAGGGCGAAACATACACACATACAGCAGAACTATTGTCACAAAATGGAACAGTATAACAGAATTTTTGGTGTATCTGAGATTACAGGCACTGAAAATGGATACATTTATTACCTTGACTTTTCTAGCTTGGAACACCACAGGGTGCACACTGAAACCCCTGCTTTATAACAGTTCAGTGCTACTTTAAACCACTTGAAATGAAGGAATGCTGCAAGTGAACAAGTCACTCTCACAAATTCTCCAGTTTATTAGCACTTCTTAAAAACATGTATTTAATGTGATGAAATTGTTATCCAGCAGTCTTCAAGAGCAACAAGCAGTGGAATTTTCAGGAAAAAAACCCTGGAAAACTAAAGAGGGAAGAAATCTATTTTTAAAATACAGCTTTTGAAATAGTTAAGAATTATGAGTTCAGAAGGAAAAACACTTCTACTGTTGGCAGTTTAAGAGCAGTCTAAGTGAAAAATCACATAATTAAGAGACCAATTTTTTTGTCAACTGAAAGTATTCACTGTGGCAAACAAAATACGGCACTTGATTTTGGAACATACGTGACATACGTGACTATCTTTTAAGTATGTTCAATGATCAGCTGCAGTTACATCGCACTGAAGAGCTAATGATATCTGATACTTTAAGTGTGTACTAGCTGAAAGGTATTCATTGCTTCTTCATGTTATACTGCAAAATCTACTTCAGTGCCTATAAAAGATATGTTAAAGGCTAAAGAGGATCATGGTTATGCCTACATTTGATGATACTGCATCAGTGTTTTCTGTAACAACTTTAAGGAATGCATACATTTACTGTGTAAGTACAGAACTTCTAGAGCTATACACTAAAGTTATTCTCAGTGCTACACAAAGAATGCTAAGTAATACTATTTTTAACTGGATTCAGATTAGCAGTATTACAGACAAGTGTTTTAACTACATGAGCAAACTGACAAAATGCATAAGGGCAAACTGTTAAGTCCTGTGACCATTTATAGTGCACTTCTTGATAGAAGCCCAGTATAACTAATGCAGAGGATGCAGAAGCCATGAACTGTCAGCTCTCATAACGGAAGTATTTTTACTCTCAAGGATCACAGTACACATTTTAAAGATGGTTTGTTAGGTCTAATGTACAATTAAGGAGGGGAAGAAATGAGTTCAAACAAGGAGAAGGTCAATAATCTTTAAGTTAGGTCAGTGTTCAAATGGTCCAAATGTACACTTTTCAGAAAAAAGTTGACATCAATATAGTACTAAGTCAATAATCTGGAAGCAAATGGTAGCTTGTGTTCTAAAGCACATCAAGCTTAGCTCTGAACATACAGTGCTAAATAATTCAATGCATTACTTATTAAATGAAAAGCAGAATTTTTAAAAACTAAACATTGCATATTGGTGAAGACTTTGTGTCAAAATTCCTATTTTGCGTTATGTTTAATAAAAGGATAAATCTAGATAACAAAAGTATCGATTCTCTCATTTATTGATATCAAAAATTGGGCTGGGTTTTGGTATGGGTTTTTTCAACATGTGGAAAGGAAAATGGAGAACTTGTATGTGACCTACGCGTATTAGCATGGAGGGAACCCAATATGGTAATCACCATGACTTACATGCAGGCTTTGAGTGTTGGAAGGCATGAGACTAAAGGTGGAGCTCTTACCTCTTCCACTATCAGCAGCCATCATACTGAGAATTGTTAGTTTCAGAACACAAGATAAATAGATTGATGATATCTTAGCTGATAAAACATACATTTAAGATGTTTCTAAATTTCCTCATTAGTCCTAATGTTAAAAGAAAAGTAGATGCTGAACAGCTTCTCAAATCCTCCTAGAGCTAAAACATTAAATTGACTGCTTGAGCGTGGTGTAGGACAGGACAAACAAGATCATTCTGGTCATTTTGGAACAGAGCAAAATCTGCAGAGAACTGCTTTAGATTTTGGGAGGGTTTTCTTGTATTTGTGAGAAGTTAATGTGTGATCACACTTCTCATTACAGAAAATACACACATAAGACATGAGCATTAAAGTTCCAACAGTATAACATATTAATACAGCCACTAAAAAGACTTGTGAAATATAGCTCTGAAACTTATCTTCTACACTGTATACTATGCTTTATCCAAGACAAAGGAACTAAAGCTATCGAAACATATTCCAAATGTTTATTTTCAAGGAAACAGTTCTCAAATAATATAAAAAAAATTAAAGCACATCTATTAAAATATAGGAAATTACTTTATCACTTCCAACATTATGAAATGTTCCTATTCCATGTTCAGCAAACGCATACGTATAATATCTAATTTCAGGAAAAAAATACTTTTCTGAAATGCACATGATCCAATATTAAACAGTCATGTGTGTGTATATATATATATATGTGTGTTCTAATTTTTGCATTGCTGCAGATTGACATTATGTTGCTAGCTTTCAATGCATGCATACCTTTTATATATAAGAAATGTTCCAAGATATACCAAACAACACAGTAGAAAGAAATCAAACTTTCCAATGTGATCTCGTCAAATTTAAATTTTGTCTGTGATTTAACTGAGGTTGCTAAAAAGTAGTATGTTGACATTCAAGGAAAGCCAGCATATTTACAAAAGGTGAGCTAGATTTTAAAACGTGCATCAATAAACAGAAATAGCATTTATTCAGCAGCAATACAAAACTCATATAATGATTTTTAAGAGTCATTTTATTAATATAGTTCCTGAAGCTGTAGCATAAGACCCGTGATAGTTTGTCAGGCTAGGATTGTCTATATATAAACTATATCGCAACCACCACATAGTAACATGCTATTTTTATTTTCTGTAACAGCAAAAAATGTTATCTCCATTACTGAGTTATAAAACTATTAAAATTTTATTTCAAGAATTCTTACTAAAAATGCTTAAATATTAATTAGTTTAACATTTCTAAATTCTCTAATTTAGTATCCAGTAAGTCACATATGCCAATACAATTCAGAACTGAGTTCAATGAATTATACTCCAAGCTTCATCACCTAAAAGACTGAATAACAGCAAAATACACATTTATGAAGGCACCTATTTTGTACAGCATTTGTTTTCCCCATATGGTTTACAGCTATAAAAGAATCCCTCACGTGTTCCTTTAAATGAGTAATAGCTAAGACAACATGTACAGTTTTAATTAAAGTAGAAGAATTAATGAAATAATGGCACCTTGAGCGAATAGATAGTGACAGACATAAGTACTTCCTCATGGAATGAATGCACCATGACAAAGCACTGAGCTACAAGCCAAGTGATCAAAATTCAGGTTTTAAAGACTTTTACACTTACCCGCCTACGGCAGAAGGGCAAACCCTGTGCAATGATGCTGATGCTAAATATCTTCATCACGGTTTGGTGTGGTAGAGGTTCTTTGGCACTTTTAAGATCAACAGGAACCAAGCCATGGCTGATGGCAGTTTTCCCAGGTTTGGACATTTTATTGTTCTTACTTTGTCAAGTCTACTAACACTGGAAGAACATCGGTAAAAACTTTGCTCTAAAGTTGCATGATTTTTTTTTTAAAGTTTCAGATTGGTGAATCAGCTCCCCAAAGCTTGCTGCCTTTGTCTCTCAACCTTCTCCTGCCAAGTGTCCTGACCTGTCTGCTGCTCAGTGAAGTGCAAGCTATCCTAGTATAGACAGGAATTAAACTACCAAGGGGCAGGCAGACTGCTCCTGTCAGTCAAACAGCTGGTGGACCTCCCCTGCAATGTCAGAAAAGCCCTTCTCCAAAAAGGGATCTGCAGATTGAAAACGAAGAAAATCATGACTGCCTGGAGTTTTAATAGCCAGAGCCACTTACACCTGCACTTTAAAGGAAGAATTTTCTTTTTTTTTTTTTTTTTTTTTTGCAAATTGGCATTGCACTTTCAGAAGGGGAAGTCAAGGAGATTGCAACCTTCAGAGAGTGACAGCATTGCTGCACGATCAACTCCACCACTCCACAAGCAGGTTTGTTCTGGACTGTCACTAAAATCAAATGAAAAACTGACTTGGACTTTGCTGTTTCTCAATTATAGCCTCCACAAACATAATATATTGCTAAGTCCAAAAGTTACAAAAGGAAAGAAAAATGGATCCAAAAAAAAAAAAAAGGAAAAAAAATGAGAGTCCCCTAAAATGGTGGCATTGGCACAAAACTTGTTCATTTAATAAAAGTAGAAGCGAAGCTACTGTTGCACTCCAGCCTGCACTTCCTCCTCTTTCCTTGCGGCTGTGGGGGGAGCATCATCCAGGCAGCTTTGGCTCTAAGGATGCAATGGTACAATAATCTTTCCTATTCTGGCCATCAGGAGTTTGGGTACCAGTTTCCTCAGGCCTATCCATCACACTGATGTAAAGGAGAAGGGCTTTTCCTCCAAAACAACAGCATATCTTGAAGGATGTGGGGAGAGGTCTGCCTGGCCTTAGCAACAAACCTGACTGAGGACCATTTTTCAGTAAAAAGGTTGGTACTCCACCAAACAAAGCTGAACAGCAATGTCTGTTACTCAGATTTTCCACGATTAGTTTGCTTCCATTTTAAATAATTTCTTGATCAAATTAGCTTTCCTACAACACCTCTAGGTTCCCACAATCCCTTTCTGATGCCTATACTTGGACATGTTTCTTAAAAACATATTCATATTTTGAAAACTTTTTTGAGCAAAACTAAGTAGAAAGAGACAAAGACCTGTGAAAATGTCTTATGAAATTGCTGATAAGAGATGCAGAAAACCATCAAAGCTCTTGTATGAACTGAGTCAGCACAGTCCAAAACACAGAGAATAAATGACCATTAAGAAATCTTACAAGTCCCTTTATGCACAAACCAGCAAAGATAATTAACTGTATAATTATGTGAGGGCAAAAGAGGGAGTGCAGTAATGCTTTAATGTTCTGAGCACAACAATGTAACTTGACAAAAGACAGCATTAAAATATGACTGTATTAGCATTTCCACTTAGCCCTTTGTTTCCCCCTCAAAAAACCAAGCTGTAAGCATGTCTCACTTGCATATACAGGGCCCCCCGACCAAACATTTGCATGTGGAAAGGTTTAAAAAGAAAAAAAAAAGAAGGAAAAAAATCCCTAGTGTTTCATTGAGAGTATATATACATTACAGTAAGCCTTCACTTACAAGAAAATATTTCTCAGACAAACAAGACAATCCTTATTTCTTTACAGATGTTGCACAGTTGCATACAGAAAAGCTGTGACAATGCTGGGTAGCACAGAATTTTCATGCACAGATGGCTGGGTTTTTTTTATTCTCTACCATACAATTCAGATGTTATTCTAAAGCACATTTAGATGTACATTTTCTACTAAAAGACTCTTTACATTTCCTACTTTATACTTCATCTTATAAACTCCAGGAAACAGTTTACCATTACACTGTACTCAATAGCAATAGCATTAGTTTATAGCTTCATTCTGAATTACTTCATATTTTATACAACAAGTACTAGGCTTTCACTTGGCTGAAAAGCTTCAGAATAAGTGTCTTGGAATCTCAGTTTCATTCAAATAAGAAAATTTCACTGAAGTACTCCAAAGAGGGTAAAGAGGAGCCTTTTGTTTCTACTTTGAATAACTAAAGTGAAGAACAGAGCCAAAAGCTCAAAAGAGATCAACTCACATACCCTATTGAAGTATCATTCAAAAAGAAGCAACAGATCCGTTTTCCATTTTGACAAACTGGTCACCATTTCAATAGTTCCGACAAAGTGTGAAGTTGACCTAAATGTATTTATATAATTTGAGATTTTTGTAGTATGTAATACAAGATCAGATACAGCATTCTGTACAAAGCAAGCCTTACTTCCTAGTTTAATAAATATTTGGCATTTCGTTTAATTGCATATAGAATTGTCTGCATGCCTGTGTGCACGAAGAGAAACTGCTGAAATAAACTCAGTTTTACAGAGTACTTTATTGCGCAATTGCTGAAAGAATTTGACAGCGTAGCAGATCACCAGTTGTTATTAGTTGGTATCAGAGCCTAGCATCTTATTACTTTACAGGCTTAGATTCCCCCCCCCCTTTTTTTTAATTATTAGCTCAGAACAAAAGTGCAAAACAGGCACATAACTTGGCCCATTTACAAATTTACATACAATTGGGGAGCAAACAAGACTGAGGTGCTGCACTCTCCAAGCACTGCTCACCACGAAAGTCTCCAGTAACAGGTTATTCTCGCACCTCTGAAAAGACAAAACTTGGGATTGTCAGCCCTTCTTGTGTGGTTTGAGATGAAGTCCCAGTAGTACACTGGTTTTTCCTCAGGAATGTCCAAAATATTCTAGAGTAATTGCACAGGGACACATTGCTAGCTGAAAAAAGTATCATGTTCACATTCAGTGTAGTCCCCTTTTTACATGGACAGACAAAGCCGTGACAAAATATGGCACTTTTTTTCTGTCCCATGTGAAATTACAAAGCTAGACTTCATACTTTATCATGGCAATAAGAAAAAGCTCCAGTTTTTATCTGTGTCTTTTTTCCCCTGCCTTTTTTCACCATCCTCTCCTGGAAAAAGACTTGCACTAATAGATGAGATTTTGCTGGCCCAATTTTACTTCCATGTATCATCACTTTCTTTTCAGTCTTGTATTTCCTACACGTTACTGAGTGTAAGTATAATTGTCTTACAGTAATGTTTAAAGGTCCCAAGCTGGACAGCTGTAAACATCTAATAAGTGAAAGTCTTTAGCCTGAAAATACAACACAGTCTAATTTAAGCAGTAAGAGGTTGTAACAGGAAGACAAAATGGTGAGGGTTGGCTATCTCAGAAGTGTCAGGAATACACTGAATATAGTAGATATCACTTATTTTTGTATTTATTACACATATAATTCTAATTTAAGCTCTAAATTTAAGTTTAAAGAATCACTGTTGTTTTCATCTTTAAAAGTCCTTTTTTACATTATACACGGTGAGAACATGTATAAACTTGACACATGTGAAATTATGAAAATTTGAGATTTAATGCTTTGTAATATATTTTTCTAACATCCTATTTCTAAATAAAGTGAGGCCGATTTCCAGTGATGCTCCTTTTAAGGGCCCACCTGTCCTTGTAATTGGAAGATCACGTTTGAAATCAGATCACATAAAAGTGCCTGAAACCTTGAGTTTGAAAATACTAGCTTGAGATTGTCAGGGACTTTCAACTGTAAACAAAAGAAACTGTTTCTTTTTGGTCAGTTCAGTGAAGTGGTGTCTTTGTAAAATGAAAGCAAGTAGTAAGCAGCAATAATCTATATACCTTCCAGTCAGGTCACAGTTTTAAGACACAAATCTAAGAAATTACCCCAACACTGAAAACCAGCTTACATACACACTATAGAATTTTCTTTTAGAGCTGACAACTGCTTTGCATATTAACATTACTGGAAAAAAAAATTTAAAAATCATGATATTTTAATATGGTGATGGAACAGTACAAGACCTACACAGACCTAGATGAAGTAAGTACAGAAAAATTAAAATGCAGACAGCAGAACCCCAGAGAGGTTCTCCACAGTTTTTAACATCGGTGAACAGCTGCCCTCAAATGGATAAAGCAGAGCACTGCAACGTTTCAAAAGTTACCTTCTCAAATCAATCCTAGTAACATCATAATCTTTTGAATATATTTCATAATATACTCCCTAAATAACATCTGTAGTAAGCTCCACATAGGTGCTGCATACAGAATGCACTATAGTTTACATTATACACAAGCTTTATTATTCCCTTGATATTCATGCTAGTCCCTGTTGGTCCAGAAAGACCAAAAACCACTTTGTCAGCAAAGCAAGGTACTCTTATACTACACTAGTAATCACTCACCTAGCTACTATGGTCCCAAGTTTATTTATGTGAGGGATTTCTAATATCAATATACAAGTAGTTTTCAAATAACACATTGTACATTAGCTTGTTTTGTACAGGCAAATGAACCAGCTGTACAGTTAAAAGGTACTGCTGTACAAAAATAACTGCAACTGTATTAGTGGTGCTGGACAGAAAAAAACCCTATTGCTTTAAACAGTCTGTATTCTATCCAAGTTTACCCAATAAAAACATCTGCACATACAAGAAAAGATAATGACCCAGACTCCTGAAGAGGGTATGGAGGGAATCAATGGGGATAACAATTTTGATCTTATGGGATCAAAATTTCCTAAAAAACGTACACTTGAATAGTATGCAAAAGGGGCAAAACTAGTAGTTTAAACATGCAAACTAATGGCTTTCTCTATAGTTCATGAAACACCCAGGAGTAGACCTGTTGTATCACAAGCAACAGAAAGAACGAAGTCTGGCTCCAGGTTAGATTATCATGACAGTTCAAATTGCACTTGAATTACTCTCCAGCTTCTCCAAGGCTTTATGGTCCCAAAATGTCATGGAAGGCTCACTCTGAACAGTCCAGCCATAGCAAAGCTTTATTTCAGGCTTATGCCTTACTATGAGTATTGACTAATAAATGGCTTCTATGGTTTAAAGGAAGGAACAAATGTTGACTGAACTGCTTACATGATCACAGAAATACTCAATTCCTCAAGAATTCAATTATGTCTTACCAGGTAGTGGTCACTTCATAGACTTCCTTTTCTGCAGATGTACTAATAAGTCTCTCCCTTTCCTTCCTACCCTTTAGTTATCTTGAAAGCTTGTGTAATCTCTCTCTTTGTCAAACTGGGAGAAAATTAGTCAAGAAATTCATGAGGTCTGGAAAGGATGACAATGACAGGCAAATGTCTCAACTGCACAAGCTTCATTTTCTTTGGCAACAAAGCTTAAGAACACAGTGAAAAAGAACCCAGATTTTCTTAACTCAGATTCACTCAAATGATACTTCCTGGCTATAATTCTGGCTCTGAAATCATATCCAGGCATGGCCATTAAAAAC